CTGTGACTCCAAGTCAAAACTATATGGTTTACAAGTTAAAAAAACCAGCAAATTCTGTCACCATTGCAACCTCTGATTTAAGTCATTGGATTTTTCTGGTCTCAAATGTCACCCACCAGTAGGCCAAGTGCTGCTCTTACTTTCAAATTGGTAATCCTATTGTCTCCAAACTCGGTTCTCAGTTACCAAGAGTGGATTTGGTCTTCCAAATGAAAATTTAGTTAAAAGTTTTGTTGGTGACATGCAAGCCACAGTGTAATCCAGCTCAGAGCTGTGCTGGCTCTGCCATGTTCGTGGGGGTTAAAAATAAAAAAGCCTTTCCAAGCCATAATATTCTGTTCACATTCCATCTATCTGCTTATATCCCCATCGTATCTGAGTGTCTCACAGGTATTAGTGAAAGCAGTGTTAATATCCCCATTTTACAGCTGGAGGAGAACTGAGCTACGGAGACACTGAGCGACTTGCCAGAGCCAGGAATTAAACCCTGATCTTCTGAGGCCTAGATCAGCACCTTAACCACAAAACAGTCCCTCCTCTCTTCCATCAGGCCCATGACTATCAATTTAGCGTGTTCTTTGCATCTTATGAACAGTTAATTAACAATCAAAAACATTTGCAATATATAGTTTTTTTCCCCATTTTTATCAATAAATCTAATATATGTGCCTTTTTCCGCAGCTGTAGTTCACCCACATTGTTGCAGTAGAGCTTATTATCTCATTTACATTTTTAAGTGCTTTTCAAAGTGTAGGATATCTGGGTTGGAAAGCAAAACATTTCATTTCTTTGTTCTCGGGCCAACAGAAAGCACTTCCAAGGTCAGGTATGGTGTAGACTTTCAACAGCAAACATGTTTACATTGCATTTGAAAGCCAGTATAACTGAAAAAATACTGTCTTTACAGCAGTGATGTAAGCCAACTCAGAAAAGCTGAGAAGGGGATGAATTTTGTACCTTGAACAGTTTAACTGATTAACAAACTGTTAACGCATGTCAACAGAGTCCACATGGACAGTTAGTCCATGGCAGGCTAGTGTGGGGTAGAGTCACACCCGAGTTTGCAGCAAACTTTGTGTGTCCAGACAAATCCTAATTTGTTATGCTTTTGTTTTCCATTTGGAAAAAATGGAAAGTGCCTTTGTGATTCAAAACTTAAGACTGGATTTTTTTCATTAAACGTAGGCATCGGTATTCCATGGGTAGAATTTTGCATTTTGAAGATGTAACATAAAAGTTTATACTTCCATAAAACAAATCCCTCGTTGTGTTGCTGAGTAACTGGGGTGAGTGCACTACAGCTATATTTTTGGCTGAATAATGACTTTTGAACCCTAATCCTGTGTTTAATTTTCCAAAAGAGAGGTTATACAGTGCTCCCAGGATAAGCTGTCAACTGTTTAATACATTTTAAGTGCATCCTGCATGAGGCGAGGTAGATTGAAGAGCTTTGTGAGCCCTGGATTCATAGCTACTCTGAGTCGCACACTCAGTAAAACTTTGGATAGTCCTCTCCCCCCCCCTTTTTTTTTTTAACTTCCTTGTGACTCAGTCAGGCTGGCTTCAAAATGCAATACAAACTTGGCAGCACTGAATAGCAGACATTGCATCCAAGCTGTTCTCATTAAATATGAGGTTTTAGACATTCAAAGGAATTTTGAGTGTAATTACTAAATATCAGAGGAGGAGGGACATTACTCTCATTTGGGAGCAGCATATATCTGAGTATATACTTTAACAAAAGTCGCCTTGCCAGTTATCAAACCAAACATTTTATAGTTCACAACGATGAGGTAATCAGAAGGTGATACGGCTTCAAGTCTCTAGCATCGATAGTCTGCATTTTGAAGTGTTCGTGTCTCAAAAATCTTATTAACTATAGTCCAAGAGTAACATTGTTGGAGACATCTCCCTTTGGCATAGGAAAGTAAGAGTAGATATAAAAGCCTCCTTGTCTATGCTGTTGGAAGTGTCCTTTTCATTGACCCTTTATGCAGCTTTACACTCCGTTTTTTTGGGGGATATCCATCAAGGTTCTTACTCTGTAGGAATGAGAATCTTGCACAGGGAAGTTATTTATCTGTCATTCTTATTCTCTGGAGATATTGGTATGCAAGGATCTCGCTCCTCCAACCCCACACTTTTTTAATTTTTTTGGATGGGCTTTGAAATAGTGCTGATTATCTTGATCTGGTGTTTCCTTCTGGATGCTTCACTTCCCATGCAATGTGGGGTACTAACGGAATCATTCAGAGAGCAGCCTTGCTCCACAACAATGGCTGCTGTGAAGTGACCAGTATTGGAGTTGGCTCGCACTCTACCCCACTCAAAAACCTTAAGTGCTAGATGAATTCACCGGACTCTCACAGAGGAGCTAAATGTCTCTCCAACACCCAAGCATGTTAAGGGCTGACAGTTACAATAGATAATGGGAATGGTCAGTAAACTCACACAATACATTCTATGTTGGATAATTGTTTAATGGTAATTTTATCTAGAGTAGAATAGAATTTACAACATTTTAAGAAGCAAATGTATGCTAGTTAAACCCACATATCCTCAGATTGTCATGCACTTTTCACTGTACGCCCTCTGCACAATATATTGGTGTGCATTTAAAAAAAAAATAACAAAGTCTAAAGGGGGAAATTGATGGATGAGATGGCACTTTACAAGTTCTCTTCTATGGTGCCAACGTTTTGCTGTGTTTGCTATAAGTACGGTTTTGGTGGATGTATTTATTTGCTCCAGACTTTCCTAGTGGAATCCAATGGAAAGATGTATTTTTCTCAAAGACTAAAATAAAATAAAGCAATACACACACACACGCACATGCTGTTTTACACCACAGAAACCAAACGAATGAAACTTTCCATTTAGAGAAAGGTTGGCAGCTCTGAGTGAAGGAAATACATGTGGTGAGTGGGTGGCATCAGCACAGCTGAGGATCCCTTCCAGTGTACAAACAATTCCCTAATTCTCTTTTTCACCATGACATGCTAGATGGATGATATTAGTTGCTCAATTGAAAATGGTGGTAGAATCCTGTACGTAGGATATCAGACAGCTAATACAGATATGGCTATTGGACATTCCAGATTTTAGTGAAAAGGGAAACAAATTTCTCTATATGCTCAATCCCATTGAAATCAATAACAATACTCATTAAGTTCATTGCCTGTTCATGGCCTGTCTCGGTTGATTTTCTAGTACATGAAAATACCCCCTTCTTTTTGCAGTAAATTCGTGTAATAGTATGACATAATTTTGTTTTTTTAAATCGTAAGTTATAGCTCTATTTTTAAATTGCCATATCAGAAATACAAAAACAAACCACACCTTACATGAATAATTTTTTTCAGGATATTAATGTATATATATTGTACTCCAAGACCTGTTTAGCACAGAAGACTGGCTACAAAGACTGGTTTTCAACATTATCTAGCAAAAATGATAGTGTAAAAGCCACTGGGCAGGCTTAAAGTTCATTCCTGGGTCTGGTTAAACTTTTTGGCATCAGAATATGTAATGGTCTTATAGCTTTAATACTTTAAAGTTAACGCCTGGCATCACTTCAAAACAATGCAAGATCTATCATAAGTAGTCCTCTTATCTTATCTGAATAGCAATTTTATCCTGTAAATGATTTGAAACTACAGTATTTCAGTGCTGTGGAAAAGAGAGAGAGTTTTTTTCTGTTAAATCTTTGGTACTGCAAGTACCTTTAATTATTCCAATTTATTTATCGGTATTCCATGTTGAGTAGCATGTGATACCATACCACATGCTCTGCAAAATGCATTAAGGGAACACAAGTTTGCTGATCTCTCTTTTACTACAGACTTTAGAGTAGCATGTCCATGCTGTTTAGATTTTTAAAAGTCAATATAATTATATTTATTATGTGTCGTCAGATCTAAATTTCCATTTTCAGAGACAGTCCTGACCCTGCTCTATACTTTTCAGTTGATACACTAGCTGTGTACCCATTTCCTAGTCTTCTACAGATAACCCTAAATGCTTCTCTCCCACTCCCATCACCACCTCTGTGAAGGTGTCTCTCTAGCATAAGCATTGTGCACTTTGCTTCAAGTCGACTCTTGAGGTACCAATGCCCAGGTTCAAACAGGTGCCTATAATTAAGCTTTAATAAGTAAATATTCAGTGTGCATTGAAACATTTAATGATAACGTTAACAAACCTTTTTGTTAATTGTTTAGTTGTTGGAATTATCATATTTTGATTATAACCTCCTTAGAACATGAACTGTCTTTTTGTGTGTTCCTATATCATCTAGCACTTTGGAGCCTTGGTCTAAGAGTTGGGTCCTGAGGTCCAGCAATACAAATAAATAATAAATTTTTAAATAATGAATGTGTCTCATCTGATTTTATTAAAAATTGTGATAATTTAAGAGCGAGACAAAGATCAGCTAAATTAGCATTGTTATTAGCAATAATTATTTATTGGATTTGTATTTCTCATTTGTCTATATATGCGCTATGTGCTTTACTAGCAGGTAAAGCCTTGTCTCAAGGAGCTTACAGTTCAGATAACGTTGAATCCATTTCCACTGCAGATGCAAGACATGGTTCCTGAGACAGCAGATTTTTTTTTTTTTTTTTACTTAAGTCAAAGTGCTGGTGCACCATGAAATCATTACAAACAAAACACAGGTTGTACGAATAAAAGAATAAGGGGAACTTGATGAACATTAGCAATACTTGTAAATAGATGAGAGAGCTCAGTTCTGCTACCCTTACTCCTACATTGGTAGTCCTGTTGTCATCAGTGGAACTACCTGTGTAGGAAGGCGCTAAGTGAGAGTCAGGGTGGCCGAATAAGTTTGTCAGTGGCTCTCTTGATAGTGTTGAAAACTAAGATTGAAGAGTATACAATACCCATGACTTTTGCTACCAACTGAACACAATTATATGGGGTTTTTTCCTTCCATCTTCTAATTTTTAATGTGTGTGTTGTATTGATTGATATTGTTTCAGGCTTTACAAGATGAAATGGAAAATTATTGCAATCAGGTACGATCTACAGAAAAGAAGCTGCAGCACAAGGAGTTGGAGACACAGGAACAGGTAAACAGTACTGTCCTACTAGATTTCTTTTGCTTGGGCAAACAGACTCTACATTTGACATTAATATCTTGCTGCAAGAGAAAAGCATATCTTCTCCTACCATATTTTCCTCTAGCTTTCTTTTTTGTTTTTGTTAATAAAAGAGAATTAAACTGTCTGAACCCCAGGAGCAAATATTTATCCAATGCTCTTTGTTTCAAGATGTTGTTTCAACTACTTTACCTGTTAAATTATGCTTTTTAGGCAATAATATTGTTTTGAATGGAGGTTTCTGGTATTACTATAACCTGTTATTTCATTACTTCTGTTAAGAGAGTTATAATTTGACAATACTTGGGATAAATATAATGTTTATTGCAGATCTTATGCATTCACTGGTTAGAGTATTGTACGTAAATGATTCCATATGATTAGCATTGCTAAGGTTATTCTGGACATGGTCTGTGAAATCAGAGATTCCTAATGTTCATTTTTCCTCAGTTTGCTCCATAGCAAAGCTCACTATTTGTAATGTACAGATTGGGAAAATTAATCTAATACTGTTATCAGAATTGTTACATAAAATTATCACTGAAATGTAAAGTGATGTGCCTGCATTAGAACCATGTTGTAAATTGAAATATGAAGGAAAATACAGAAGTAGTAGAGATTGCACAAATCCACATATCCCAGTCTTTGATCATGTGCTCACACAAAGAATACTGACCTGATGTAAGGAGAGATGAGTTTGTAGAATCTCCCTTTGTCTCTATTGCTTTTTCTGTACTGACTTGTAAACACTTGTGCAGTGTTTCAGATCCTGATTTAGTACCAAAGTGCCTATGGCTCATTCTTTCTGTTCCCATATCTGTACTTCCTAGCATAGTCACATTTCGGGATAATCATCATCAGAATATCTCAAAAAATTCATAATGATTAGCAAGTATTATTGTTCTATTTACAAATGGGGGACTGGTCCATTGAGACACAGACCTATGGTGACTTGACCACTGTGGTATAGTGAGAGTGGCAGAGTCTGGAACAGAACCCAGCTCTTTTGAGTCCTAGGTCCCTCTCCGACTATTAAATAGTGTTTTCAAGCATCTCTTCTAGATGTGTCAAACTGTTTGCCTAGTCTTCTACCCTAAGCTGTTTTTTTCTTCCAGTATGTTTTTCACTCATTTTTAACGTATTAATATCTTTATAGTTGCAGTTTCTGTTGGTGCCTTTGTTAGTTCATTCCACACATGTCCTCCTGAATAAAAAGTTTTTTAGGAACTTCCTTAATACCTGTTCCTTTCTTAGTTTCAGTTTATACCTTTCTAGCAGTTTTTATGGCATTCACCTTCAGTATTTATCTTCTACTTTACACCTCAGTAATGTCCACTCTTAACTTCCATTCCTTTTCTAATTCTTTTATATCTTCCTTGTAAAAGAGTTCCCCAAAATTGTACTTGTTCTTCTAAGCATTGGGTAATGTTCAGAAATGTCTGAATTGGGATCCTAAGTCCCATTTTCAGACCTGAGGTAGAAGCCAAATTCCCATTGACTTTTGCACCGTCAAGTCCAGAGCTGCTTCTGCAACTTGTTAATATATTAGCATTGGAAGATGCTGATTCTTAGCCCCAGTAAGTTAATCAACAATTGAGACTTTGTTGAATGAGTTCAATCTTACAAGGTTGCTCATCTTACAATGTTTTTTTGAGTCTTTCCTTTTAATTTTTTAATTTAGTCTTTCTCCCAAGAAACTCAATGGTAACATGGATATCTTGATATATTTTTCATTGTCATTCCTTGGCCAGACTACCCATAAACATGTTCAGAGAAGGGGCAATAACGGTATACAGCCTAGGATCAGCCAGTTAGGTAGTTGAGATATTCAAGGCCCTTACTTGGAACTTTCTTCCTACGCTTACCAAATATTCTTGTCTCGATGCCGCATTGCATAAAGGGTTGAAATTTGCCTTGGCACCATTACAAAGGGCAGTTTTCTGGGCTATTACATGTCTCCTTTAAAAAAAATAATAGGAGGAAGTGGGCGGGGGTTAAACGGCTTCTGTTTTTCATTAAAAGGGAAAATTCTGTGTTTTGATTCTATAACAACAACAAATAAGTGAATGAGACATGAAACAAATACTTTGTTGTGCTTTTAATTAAAAATGAAAAGCTGGTTCTTGTTATGGCTTGTTGGGTGGCATTTTAGTGCTCCGTGTTTGTCTTATTTCAGTAGGGACATCCTTATAACTCTGCAGTCTCCAGAAGTGAGTGACGAATTCACTAAGCTTACCCTTTGTTCCTTACAAAGAATGAACCTGTTCCTTATTAGATTGGTCAAGACAGATACAATATTTACACACACATTCCACACAAAAAAGCTGTAAAAAGATGATTACGGTTGCAAAGTACTAAGGCAACTAGAACTGAATGCAATATCCCAGTAGAGGGTAAGCTATTGATTTGTTTAAAGTGCTATAATATTTTCCATATTGTTTTCTGTCCTAGTCTTTGTGCACCATAACATTTTGTTTGTGCATTTGACCACCACTGCATACTGAACAGAGGTTGTCATGCACTGTCTTTGTCTTTTTCCTAAGTGGTTACATTTAATTTAGAACTCAACAATGTGGCTGAATGTTTCAGTTTATTCTTTCCAGTGTACATTACCTTGCATTTCTCAACACTGAGTCTCTCACCTGCTGACATGTTGCCCATTTCTCTACTTTTATTAAATTCCTTGAAAGTTTTCAGTCTTCTTTAAATCTTGACTAATCGAAATTTTGCATCATCTATAAATTTTGTCATTCACCCCATTTTCCAGTTCACAGAGAAATACATTAAGAAACACTAGTTCTCGTGTGCAACCTTGGGGCACCTCATGCCTAACCTTTTGTGTTGTTGAAATATTGAACATTTATTCCAAATATAAGTTTCCCAACCACTTGAGACATTTTAAAATTTTATTCCTGGTGGGCAACTAATGAGAGGTCAGTAGAATTTGACTCAGAATATTGGAGATACTAGGTTTCCTCATAGGAGTGCCTGCACCGTTAAAACAACCCTAGAGAAGTTCTTGGGAAATCCAGGAAGCATTCCAATGTAGAAAATAACTAGAACCACTTCCTAAAACAGGGCTCTAAGTTTCTTGCTTCCCAGTAATATGTGGACTTCTGATTTTAGATTAGTTTCCCATATTGTCTGTTCTGTGTTGCAGCATTTAATTGTCTTTGATAAATGCATAGTTTCAACATTGTCCTATACATTCAAGCTCTCTAATGGGAAGATCTGCATCCTTCACTTTACTGGAGAAGTATTCTGTTTCTTGTATCGCACTGCTTCTATAAATGTGGCAGCTGAATCATTATTGCAGCCGTCCCTATATCGTTTGTATGACCTCAGTTCAGCAAGGGATGTAAGCACATGCTCAAATCCCATTGACTTCAATGAGAATGAAGCATATACTTCAAGTTAAGCACATGCTTAAATGCTTTGCTAAATATGGGTGGACGTAAGCATGTGCTTAAGTGTTTTTGCTGAATTGGGGCCTATGTAAATATCTGTGGTAGATATCCCAGTCACATTCTGGCTTGAATATCTGCACTTCTTCAAAAAAAACTTAAAAAGGCAACCGCCACACTGCAAAATATACAAAAAGCTTATAGTAGACTGACCTCTGAGAAGTTCTCCCATGGGAACCCTACCTCAGAAACCATTTCAGAGTGTTGCTCCCATTTACTTTTTCATTTTGAAAGGACTCCCAAAGATTTTGGAGTGGGAAGGACATTGGGTGAAGTTTGTACCCCAGGAAGGAGGAAGAAAAACTTTAAAAGATCACCTTATGCTCACAATTACGTGAGCACTGTAGTACAGCGGTTACTGTACAACACTGAAGATGTTTAAACCATAGCAATCATCCTCAAGGGTAAAAGCATCAATCATGTTGCAAAAAGAGCCTTAAAGGAGAGAGATGCTGTTCAGACAGAAAATCAATTATGTACAATTCATGAATATTATTAAGGGGAGTCAGGGTGAGTGCCAGTACAGATTTCCAAGCCTTTAATTTCCATTTTCTCAAATTGATTAAAATAAAGGCAGAGGGAAATGAGATGAGTTAGGGTTGTGTTGGAGGTATTTGGAGTGAAATCTGTTTAACAAAACAAAGCTGCTTCATTTTATTCCAAATTACAAAATGAAAACAGAAGTGATCATTGAGAGCTGTGATTCAACAGCATTTATTGAATTTTTCATGTTTAATGTTTATTATTCTGACTTGGTTAATTTTATGACTGCTGGATATTTACCACATTCAGTTGCCATGCCAACTTAATGTATTTGTTCACAGACAATGCTATTATGCACCATTCTGAAATGTTGGTTCTTCAAGTGGTTGCAGACGTGTATCCCACTCAGATGTGCACGTGCCCAGTGCACCAAAGCTTAGCAGTACCTGTGGGGGGTGGGTCAGCGCTCACACACTTTGGACCCATAGCCCCTCCCCTAGCTGTTTAAGGGCAGCACCCCGACCCACCTTGGTTCCTTCTCACTGCCCAGGACTAGATTGTAGCGTTCTGTGTGGTATTTTACCTTACGCGTCTCTGTTTCAGTCTTTCTGGAATTTTATTGTGTATAGTTAATAGTTAGATAGTTTAGTAGTATCCTTAGTTTTAGTTAGTAGAAGTCAGCTATGATCGATAGTTATCCTGGTATGATGCCATCACCACAGTTTAAACATTTTCCATTGCATGGGTTGCTGTCCTCAGTAGTGATTCCCAGATGTGGTGTTTTGTTGTGCCTGGCAAAAGGGCGCACTAAAGAAAGGTGCACCATCTGCATATGTTCAGGTGGTGAGGGACTTACACCTCAAGCAGCACCTCATGGAGTGCCTTGACTGTGACAGTGTTGGTTCTCTGGCCTCCTTAATCTGTTGGATTGACCTCCCATATCTCTTCCTCTTTATCCTGACCTACTGACTCAGCACCACGGTCAGACTTGGCATAGCAAGTGTGCTGTGTGGCTAGATGACA